ACAGCTGCATCACCTCCGCCAGCGCCGCCTGGTGAGGGAGACCCGGGATTACACCGGGATTACACCGGGTTTAGACCGGGTTTAGACTGAGTTTAGACTGAGTTTTAGACTGAGTTTAGACTGAGTTTAGACCAAGTTTAGTCCTGGTTTAGACCAACTTTAGACAAATTTTGACAGAGTTTAGACCTGGTTTTGACCCAGTTAAGAGCTGGTTTAGATCTCGTTTAGTTCTGGTTTAGATCTGAGTTTAGACCTGGTTTAGTCCTGGTTTAGACCTGTTTTAGTCCTGGTTTAGACCTGTTTTAGTCCTGGTTTAGACCTTTTTTAGTCCTGGTTTAGACCTGGTTTAGTCCTGGTTTAGACCTGTTTTAGTCCTGGTTTAGACCGTTTTTAGTCCTGGTTTAGACCTGTTTTAGTCCTGGTTTAGACCTTTTTTAGTCCTGGTTTAGACCTTTTTTAGTCCTGGTTTAGACCTGTTTTAGTTCTGGTTTAGATCTGAGTTGGGACCAGTGACTAAAAGCTGAAATATAATATAAACTAAATGTTTTCTCTCTCGTGTTCAGGTGCGTGCAGTGGACGGGTAAATCCTTCTCGGCGTGGCACGGTGATGAGGAGGTGCCCGTGGCGGTGGCGCCGGGTCAGAGGTTTTCTCGCGTGGGCGTGTACGTGGACCACGCGGGCGGAGCCCTGCGGTTCTACGGTCTGCAGGCGGGCGAGGGCGAGGGCGACGCCGAGGTGACGCTCATCCACGAGTTCAGGGCGGAGTTCAGGGAGCCGCTGTACCCCGCCTTCTGGCTCTCCAAGAAGGAGAACTCTGTAACCATGGTGACGCCCGGAGAGCCCCTGAAGAGCTCGCCGTCTCCGCCGCCGTCCACGCTGTCGCCTAGCAACAGCAGCGCTAATCTGAATGCCAATAATAATAATAATAATAATAATGGGAATAATGCAAACACGCCGCCGCCCTCCTCTCCCACCGCCGTCTCCACGGTCGAGTCTGGAGCCAACGGGAAAACAAGCTCCTCCCCCTCCTCCCCCACACAGACAACGACCACTGAAACCAAAAGTGAAACTAAAAATTAAACAGACAAGTAAACAAAAACATGAAACAGTGAGAGCGCTGCAGATATTTATGTTTTTGTTTGTTTGACAAAGTTTAGATTTAAATTTTAGATTTTTAGATTTAAGATTTTCTCTGATCTCTGTGTCCTGGACTCGTGTTTTGTTTCATTCACATGTTTGCGTTTATTATTCAGGTTGAGTTCTCAATTTCTCAAACTGAAAACAGCGGCAGAATTTTTTCTTTACAAATGACAGACGTGGCGCATACGCACGGGATTAAGATCTCAGGCGTCCAGTGTAACTGTTACAAATCACCAGTGTTGTGGTGAAGAGCGCACTAATCCAGACCAAGACCAGTCCAGGACCAGTCCAGGACCAGTCCAAGACCACGGCCCGTCGAGACTAAAGCGAGACCATTGTTGTCATTTTCTACATTTATTTGTAGACAGATGAATAATACAGATTTACTCAAATATGTGAATGAAACAAACACAGCTCCAGGTCTGTTTGTGTTTTTGACGAGGAAATATCAGAACAGGACTTAACGCTCACAGAGTTTTGCGTTACATCGGACGTTTCGGTGAAGTTTTACCAGAGTGAATCATAAAAATAAGCTCCAACTTTCTGAGGAACATTAGAATAATTATGTTTTTTTACCATAAAAACTCCAGAGAGTGAAAGACTGAGGTGCGGGTCAAAGGTCAAACAGTCTGCGGTCACTGGACACTTTTAAATATAATAAATAAATGACTTTATGAGGTTTTGACGTTTATGTTTGTTTTTGCTGTTTTTCTTTTTCTTGGAGCTGTTTATTTTTGTGTGTGTTTACGCCACAGACGGTCGGTTTACACTGGATTTTCCGTTCTCAGGAGTTTTACTTTCAAATGGTAAAAATAATTTCAGAATTTTGAACAAAACAAACTGTGCCAAATGGATCATGTTTACATTTTATATTTATCTTTTTTTAGGATTTCAAGGGTTAAATGGAACTGTGACTAAAACTAAAAACTAAAAACTAATGCTGTTCCGTAAATAAAACTTTCTGAACCTTTTTGTGACTGTTGCTTTTAACAAATAATTATAATGTTAACAAGGCTAAAGTTATTTATGCTCATTCACTTTATAAACTCCACATAGTTAATATCCATATAGAAACTGAAAGTATAAAAATAAATAAAAACAAAACTCTACTTGACGTCCCTGATCCCCAAAACATTTAACATTTAACATTAGAATATGCATTTTATTTCAATTAAAGTTAATAAAACAATGAAATAAACCATCTAAATATAGATGAAGCATTAAAACTCAGAATAAAAGTAATTTTAAATTTCATTTTACAACACAAGATGGTATATTGATTCGATCTGATGAACGAGTGCAGTAGATTTATTTATTTATTAGTAGATTTATTTGTTTATTTAATGACACAGGGACAGCGCAGAATTTTTACACGAACCTTAACAGAAAAGATGCTTCGTTCCATAGCACCAGGTCTAATTTCCACTTGTCGTCCCTGAGCAGGTTCATTAATTGATTGTATTTAACTGACCTGGACTATCAACTGTTCTTCCTGGAGACCTGTGTAGCCTGTTTTGAGATGTCAGATGATATTATAAAAATATTATTATTAGACAGATATCCAGACAAACTGATATATGTGTGATTTAAAGAAAACACAAAACATTAAAACAGCCCGGTTCATCAACAAAAGTGCATTTCTTTTGTCAGACATTTATATTTTACATGTAAAATTACAGTACATGTTCTTTATAAAGATGAACTGCTGCATTTTTTGTCCTTAACATCAAAATACCAAAAATACTTTGGGTTTAGGTTTTACTTTTTATTTAGAGTAAATTATATTTACCTGGAAGAATTTAATATGTTACAAAACATTTTAGCTTAAAAATAAATTAAAAAATAAATAAATAAACATAAACTCGTGACGTGGCAGTGCGTGACGTAACTCAGAGCCGTGACGTGTCCTCCAAACCCGGAAGAGCCCATCAGACTTCCAACATGTTAACAAACGTAAGTGACTCATATTTTCACATTTTCAAACCTTTTATTTTTCTTTAGAGTCAGTTATAATGTCAGGATGCGCCGCAGATCGTGTCACACAGTTTGTGTTTGTCAAAGTCTCTAAAAACATGTTTAAAGGCGCTGTTTACGTGGCCGTGCTAACGCGGCTAAAGCTAAAGGCTGCAGAGGATCTTTATTTTCTGACGTTTACGTCATTTAAATGAGTTTAGATTTATTTCTGATGATAAAATAAAGAGTTTGGAAACAGAACACGTTTTACAAACACGTTTATCGCTCTGATGTTTGAGTTTTTGGAGTGTTTAGCCTCAAAAATGTCCGATTGTTTGTCAGAGCCACAGTTAGCCCGATGTGTCTCTTAAAAAATAAAAATCTACAGAGAAAAAAAACAAACGAAGATTCTTTTGGTTTGGTCCCGAGATTTATACAAAAAGACTAGTCCAGTTGTTTTTTTTTATTTTATTTTATTTTTTATACGGTTTGTGGTTTGGTCTCGTCTAAATTTGTCTTTTCAGTTTATGTGACTTTTAAATCAAACCAAAACTATATTTAATAAGAGTCAAGATAAATCTGCTCGTTCTGTTTGTGTGTGTTTCCCCGGTTTCTGTGTTTGTGTCTGTGTGTGTGTGTTTGTGTGTGTGTTTGTGTGTCTGTGTGTGTGTGTGTGTGTTTCTGTGTGTTTGTTGTTATTGTGAAATGACGTGAGTGACTCAGGACTCACCTGTGATCTGCTGAAATCTCAGGTGAAACTGGAGCCTGGTGACACAAACACACACAGACAGACTAGGGTTGGAGGGTTGGACGATATGGATAAAAAATATATATCGATATATTTTAAAATATAAAATATAATATATATATAAAATATTTTAAAAATATATCTCAATATACGATATATATCTCGATATGTGTACAGGAAAAATAACCCCCAAAACTGCTGCAAAAACAAATATGCCAAATTCCACAAGATCTTTTTTTATTGAAGTGCAAGTCGTCGGCAGATCATGTAAGAACAAAATGCTTCTGCCACATTTAAAATTACGAAAAATCCCTTATTACATAAATAATAATTTAACTGTAAAATAAAAGAAATAAAACATAATTCCTTCTTTTCATTCATAAATAAAACAACTCAACTCAAGATCATCTTTGCATTCACAAATCAGAATTGAATATAAATATTATACATATATTTACGATATGTCAGAATCCATATCGAGTTTAAAAAATATCTCGATATATTTAAAATATCAAGATATCGCCCACCCCTAACACAAACACACACAGAAACACACACAGAAACACACACACACACACACACACACACACAGAAACACACACAGAAACACACACAGAAACACACACAGAAACACACACACACAGAAACACACACACAGAAACACACAGAAACACACACAGAAAACACACACAGAACACACACACACACACACAGAAACACACACAGAAACACACACAGAAACACACACACACAGAAACACACACACAGAAACACACACAGAAAACACACACACACACACACACACACACAGAAACACACACACACACACAGAGAAACACACACACACACACAGAAACACACACACACACAGAAACACACACAACACACACACACAGAAACACACACACAGAAACACACACACACAGAAACACACACACACAGAAACACACACACACACAGAAAACACACACACACACACAGAAACACACACAGAAACACACACACACACAGAAACACACACACACAGAAACACACACACACAGAAACACACACACACACACACACACAGAAACACACACACACACAGAAACAAACACACACACACACACAGAAACAACACACACACACACACAGAAACACACACACACACAGAAACACACACACACACACAGAAACAAACACACACACACACACACACACACAGAAACACACACACAGAAACAAAACACACACACACAGAAACAAACACACACACACAGAACACACACACACAGAAACACACACACACACACACACAGAAACAAACACACACACACACAGAAACACACAGAAACAGAAACACACACACACACAGAAACACACACACAGAAACACACACACAGAAACAAACACACACACACAGAAACAAACACACACACACAGAAACAACACACACACACAGAAACACACACACACACACACACACAGAACAACACACACACAACAGAAACACAGAAACACACAGAAACACAAACACACACACACACACAGAAACACACACACACACACACACAGAAACACACACACACAGAAACACAACACACACACACACAGAAACAAACACACACACACAGAAACACACACACACACACACACACAGAAACAAACACACACACAAACAGAAACACAGAAACACACAGAAACACACACACACACACAGAAACACACACAAACAGAAACACACACACACACAGAAACACACACACAGAAAACACACAGAAACACACACACAAACAGAAACACACACACACAGAAACACACACACATACACACACAGAGGGCTGTACAAAGATATCGATATATCTTTTAATGTGATGATTCCGTATCAATATCGTGAGCTGCTGTATCAATATATCGTTTAATTTTTTTTTTTACATTTTACTGAATCATTTCTGAGTCTCTAGTTCCGCCGCTTCACACAAACCGTATGATGAATGAATCTGAATGTTTGTCTCTGGGCTCGGTGTTTAAATCCGTCCTGTGGTTCACAAACTCAGACTCGACCCTCTGGAGCGTCAGCTGGTGTCCAGAGGAGGTCGGAGGTCAGAGGTCAAGGTTTGCTGCGTCTCGGAGGGAGTTCTGCTCCGACAGGAAACGCGCAGAAACACGATGATGATGATGATGTGAAAATCTGAAACTGTACAAAATGTTTCAGGAAAATAATGACGAGGATGTGTCCCTGTTCGACGCAGAGGAGGATTCTGGGAAACGGAGTAGAAAAGGAGGAGGAGTCAAGTGAGTGGAACTACAACTGACCCTCTGATCCTCTCACCCTCTCACCCTCTCTTCCTCTTCTGACCCTTTCCTCCTCCTCTGACCCTCTCCTCTGACCCTCTCCTCCTCTGACCCTCTCCTCTCACCCTCTCCTCCTCTCACCCTCTCCTCCTCTGACCCTCTCCTCCTCTGACCCTCTCCTCCTCTCACCCTCTCCTCCTCTGACCCTCTCCTCCTCTGACCCTCTCCTCTCTCCCTACCCTCTCCCTCTCTGACCCTCTCCTCTCTGACCCTCTCTCCTCTCTCTCCCCTCTTCCCCTCTCCTCCTCCTCTCCCTCCTTCCCTCCTCTGACCCTCTCTTCTCCTCCTCTGACCCTCTCTTCCTCTCCTCCGCTGACCCTCTCTTCCTCTGACCCTCTGTTCCTCTGACCCTCTCCTCTCTCTCTGTTGTTCCTGGAGCAGACACCCGGTGGCGCTGTTCTTCCTGCTGTTCTTCAGAGTCTCGGCGTTGTTGGTCTATCTGTTCTGTGAGATCTATGGGGCCAGTTCCATCTCGTCCATGGTCTGCATCATCCTGCTGCTCTCCGCCGACTTCTGGACGGTGAAGGTACGAACGCGCACGGAAACACAACAACCAAACCGCAACCAAAACACGACAAACCAAACATTAAAACATAAAGTCAACGTTCAAATTCAATGTAAAAAAAACGTCAATTTAAACCTGTTCAAACGTTCAAACAGAATGTAAACAGGGAGATGGCGCCCTCTTGTGTCCAGGATCAGTGTATTCATGTATTAAAGGTTGTATGGAGGATTTTTTTTGTTTCAAATTGTCAGTGATAGATTATAGATGCAGTCACCTTGTAATTATGATGACCAAAAAAAAGAGAATAAAAATTCATCAACTCTGGACGTGGTGGGGCTAAACATTTGCCAATAGATAACGACACTGCCTCGTTATCTGTGAGCTGACAGGCTGTCAATCAAACTCCCTACGTTTCTAGTGTAACTGACTTGCCTGCGCCGCCGGTACGTGGTTTACGTACGACTGTCACACAGTCCACAGACGCAAGACGCACAGACGCTGTTTACTCCACCAACGCAACAGTTCTTAGCGGCTTTTTTTGACCTATATCTTCCTCGCAGTTCACACAAAGTTTGTTGCGATGGCGACAAGAATCCAGGAGCAGTTCGCCGCAAAAGAAAGTCCGTTTTTGAGGTCGCTGAAAGAAGAAGACAAGGGGAAAAGCAGCGAAGCCAAACTAAGGTGATTCTTGGAGATTCATTCCAGCGATGGCGCGACTGAAGCAGACGCAAGGGTCTAAAGACTGAACCACTGGTCCACAAATTACTCCTGGACAGGAAACTTCTGCTTATTATGAAAACGTACTTTATTTTTTTATTTCCAAGAGCTAGACAAACGTTTTGCAGGACACAAATGTGATATCCTATGTCTGAAAACGTAATTTTCAATGCAAAGAAAGAGTCCGCTTGCTGCTGCGTGTTGTAGTAGTAGCTTCATTCGCACTGAATCTCCGCGCACCTTCTCTGCACCCCTTCCTGCTCCTCTCCCCGCTCCCCGTTCTGTTCTTCTCCCTGCTCCTCACTTCTTTTCCGCGCACAAACTCTCCGCGCACCCCCTCCCCCCGCTCCTCACTTCTCCGTCTTGCCTAACCAACACTGTAGTTAGTTGTTTACAAGTCATGTGCAGCGATGAGGACTTTCTGGCGTGAGGAGGAGGCGGGAGGAGGCGTTTCTACGTAGGAGCTGTAGGGGAGGGGGGGGGTTTCACACATGCGCAACATTTGAAAAAGGACAAACAGTCGCTGGATTTCTCGTTCCTTGGAAAATCCTCTATACAACCTTTTTGCATTTTGTTGTGAAAAGACGGAGGAGATGAGTCGCTCTGTCGCCTTCAGCAGCACAACGTGAAGGTTCATCAGAGTCAGAAGTGTTGTGTCTCTGTTTCAGTAAACGACCTGAACCTGAAGTCATAATAGAATCAAATATAAAAGAATAACTGCTCCTCACTGTTTGAATTTATTTATTTAATGAGACAGGGACAGTGCGAAATATACAATTAAAAGGCCCATCTCACGCAAAATCATCTTTTCAGATCTTTCTACCTTCTCAGAGTGATGTGTGGGCCTTGTATTTGTCGCCCAAGTGTTTTTTTTAGATTGATTCAGCATTTTTTTAACAAATTGCAGCGTATTTCTGCCCCCCTCCTACGTGACGACGAACTAAAGCTGCTACGACGACGACGCGGCAGATTCACCTACGACGCGTTTGACGTAGCAGAAAATGCCTCAAGTGTTTTTTACCTGCTGCGTGAGCCTCGTCATTCTGGTCTTAAAATGTTCATATGAACTCGTGATCACATGATCCTGGATTTTTTTTCGCTATTTTGTCTGTCAAAAAGATCAAATTCGTAAAATGAGTCTGGCTCCAGATTCGCTCCTCTAACTGTGAACATCTTGAGCCTCGTGTGAGCGACGCTGAACTCACTGAGCAACACTTCTGTATACAGACTGTGTACTAAACACATCTGTCTGTGTGTGTGTGTGTCTGTGTGTGTCTGTGTGTGTGTGTCTGTGTGTGTGTCTCTGTGTGTGTGTCTGTGTGTGTGTGTGTCTGTGTGTGTCTGTGTGTGTGTGTGTCTGTGTGTGTGTGTGTGTGTGTGTCTCTGTGTGTGTGTGTGTGTGTGTGTGTGTGTGTGTGTGTGTCTGTGTGTGTGTGTGTGTGTGTCTGTGTGTGTGTGTGTGTGTGTGTGTGTGTGTGTGTGTGTGTGTGTGTGTGTGTGTGTGTGTGTGTGTGTGTGTGTGTGTGTGTGTCTGTGTGTGTGTGTGTGTTTGTAGAACATCAGTGGGCGTTTGTTGGTCGGGCTTCGTTGGTGGAACCAGGTCGACGACGACGGAAAAAGCACCTGGATCTACGAGTCCAGAAAGGTCTGACACAATCTGACACACGGGGAGGGCATCTGACCTGGTTTAGACCTGGTTTAGTCCTGGTTTAGGCCTGGTTTTAGTCCTGGTTTTAGTCCTGGTTTTAGTCCTGGTTTTAGTCCTGGTTTAGTCCCGGTTTAGTCCCGGTTTTAGTCCCGGTTTTAGTCCTGGGTTTAGTCCTGGTTTAGTCCTGGTTCAGTCCTGGTTTTAGTCCTGGTTCAGTCCTGGTTCAGTCCTGGTTTTAGTCGTGGTTCAGTCCTGGTTTTAGTCCTGGTTTAGTCCTGGTTCAGTCCTGGTTTTAGTCCTGGTTTTAGTCCTGGTTCAGTCCTGGTTTTAGTCCTGGTTTAGTCCCGGTTTAGTCCCGGTTTTAGTCCCGGTTTTAGTCCCGGGTTTAGACCTGGTTTAGACCTGGTTTAGACCTGGTTTTAGTCCTGGTTTTAGTCCTGGTTTAGACCTGGTTTTAGTCCTGGTTTAGTCCTGGTTTAGACCTGGTTTTAGTCCTGGTTTAGTCCTGGTTTAGACCTGGTTTTAGTCCTGGTTTAGTCCTGGTTTTACTCCTGGTTCAGTCCTGGTTTTAGTCCTGGTTTAGTCCTGGTTTAGACCTGGTTTTTAGTCCTGGTTTAGACCTGGTTTTAGTCCTGGTTAGGTCCTGGTTTTAGTCCCTGGTTTAGACCTGGTTTTAGTCCTGGTTTAGTGGTTTAGTCCTGGTTCAGTCCTGGTTCAGTCCTGGTTTAGTCCTGGTTTAGTCCTGGTTTTAGTCCTGGTTTAGTCCTGGTTTAGACCTGGTTTTAGTCCTGGTTTAGTCCTGGTTTAGTCCTGGTTTAGTCCTGGTTTAGTCCTGGTTTAGTCCTGGTTTTAGTGGTTCAGTCCTGGTTTAGTCCTGGTTCAGTCCTGGTTTTGGTTTAGTCCTGGTTTAGACCTGGTTTAGACCTGGTTTTAGTCCTGGTTTTAGTCCTGGTTTTAGTCCTGGTTTAGTCCTGGTTCAGTCCTGGTTCAGTCCTGGTTTAGACCTGGTTTAGACCTGGTTTTAGTCCTGGTTTTAGTCCTGGTTTTAGTCCTGGTTTTAGTCCTGGTTTAGACCTGGTTTTAGTCCTGGTTTTAGTCCTGGTTTAGTCCTGGTTTAGTCCTGGTTCAGTCCTGGTTCAGTCCTGGTTCAGTCCTGGTTCAGTCCTGGTCTGACTCTGTGTGTTGTAGGGAGCAGTGAGCGGCTCTGGCTCTGAGTCGCGGCTCTTCTGGCTCAGTCTGGTGGTGGCTCCTGTCGTCTGGTCGATCCTGTCGTTCACCTGCCTCATCTACTTCCAGATCAAGTGGCTCGTGAGTCTAAAGACGCACTGCGGAACATTTCACCACAGTAACATCAGAGCAGGAGTTTCAGATCATGTTTTTTAGGGCCGGGCTCAGTAACACGTTCATTTTGAGTTAACTCATTAATTCATTATCACCGACAATTATTTTAACGCTGTTTACACAGTTTTTATTATTTATTTATTTGTTTCTCACTGGCTTTTATTTTGAAAAAGTCCACCGCGAGCGTTTCTTTAAGTTTGACATATTTCCTTTACACTTTTTTTCACTTTGTTCCTGACCACGTGAGATGCAACATGTCCGAGCCACAGACTCCTGGTCACGGGTCTTTCTCTTTCTTCTCCTTCCAAATCGAGGCGTCCAGTGTGGTTTTCGTCGCTGTGGTCTCACTTACATAACACTATCACAGGGTTTTCACGAAGGTCTGGGAGATTCGGGGACATGATCCCGCCCATAACTCAGTGAAATCTGATTGGCTGACGTTTGTGTGTGACGTTTGTGTTTGTGTGTGACGTTTGTGTGTGACGTTTGTGTGTGTTTCAGCCGGTTGTCGTCATGGCCTTGGTTCTGAACGGAGCGAATCTCTACGGATACGTCAAGTGTAAATTTGGGAGTAAAACCAGCCTCAAGACCGTGGCCACGAACTACTTCGGACGACAGTTCCTCAAACAGGTCCTGGTTTAGTCCTGGTTTAGACCTTGCTTAGTCCTGGTTTTAGTCCTGGTTTTAGACCTGGTTTAGTCCTTGCTTAGTCCTGGTTTTAGTCCTGGTTTTAGAGACCTGGTTTAGTCCTGGTTTAGACCTGGTTTAGTAGTCCTGGTTTAGTCCTGGTTTAGTCCTGGTTTAGTCCTGGTTTAGTTAGTCCTGGTTTTAGTCCTGGTTTTTAGTCCTGGTTTAGTCCTGGTTTAGTCCTGGTTTAGTCCTGGTTTTAGTCCTGGTTTAGTCCTGGTTTTAGTCCTGGTTTTAGTCCTGGTTTTAGTCCTGGTTTTCCTGGTTTAGAGTCCTGGTTTTAGTCCTGGTTTAGTCCTGGTTTTTAGTCCTGGTTTAGTCCTGGTTTAGTCCTGGTTTAGTCCTTTTAGTCCTGGTTTAGTCCTGGTTTAGTCCTGGTTTAGTCCTGGTTTTAGTCCTGGTTTAGTCCTGGTTTAGTCCTGGTTTCCTAGTCCTGGTTTTAGTCCTGGTTTAGTCCTGGTTTAGTCCTGGTTTAGTCCTGGTTTAGTAGTTTTCCTGGTTAGTGGTTTAGTCCTGGTTTTAGTCCTGGTTCAGTCCTGGTTTAGTCCTGGTTTACCTGGTTCTAGTGGTTTTAGGGTTTCCTGGTTTTAGTCCTGGTTTAGTTTTTTAACCTCAAAGTCTGGTTTAGTTTTTTCTTTTAGTTTTTTAGTCAGTTTCTTTTCCACCTTCAAGATTCAAAGTGCTTCACATCAGGGAAACACTCACACACAGAGACACCGGGGACGAGGGGGTTAAGTGTCTTGCCCGAGGACACAACAACAGCGTTCATCTTGTCTTAAAACGTAAAAAAAAAAAAAAAGATTGTGTAAAAATGAAATAAAACAAACAAATCATAATAGTTCATAGAATTATTTAATGTGCAACGTTAAATTTCAACATAAATAAAAAACAAAGTGTTTTTACAGGATTCATCCACAGACGAGACACAGAGACACAGAGACGTTCAGCAGGAGTTCAGTGAAATGTGATGTTTAAATCTGGGTTAAATTACAGCAAATCCTTCAGAGTAATTATGTGATTTTTATCTTCTCCATTTGAACCAGAAACTTTTTATTTTTTAAGGCGTTTGACTGAGTAACACGAGGATCAGGTTTTTGCTCTGATGTTTTTAAAGTGTAAATGCTTCTGGAGATCAGTGTTTGTTTGTTTGTTTGTTTCTGTAGTTTTGTTTCAGTTTCAGGCTGAAGTGTCGAACAGTCGGTCGATCATCTCCTCCACCTCCTCAGGACGATATTTGTGATACTTCTCTGGGTTTTTAGTGAACGAGATGTTTGCACACCTGGAGAAGAAAAACAGTTTAAACTATACACATGAAACCCACGTACCTGTATAATATGACCTATGACCTGTGACCTCTGACCCCTGGCCCCTGACCTGTGGAGGAAGTTCCTGTAGGCCTCGGACACGGCTCTCTTCTGCTCTCGTCG